CCGCTGCGCAGCACCTGCCATGCCACCAGTGATGAATCGCAGTGCCATTCACACCCATCTTCTTTCCAATATAGGCACTGGAAAGCTACACTTCCCTTCCCTACATAGACCCTAACCCACCCTGGTTTTGAGAGTGGCGTTAGGCAAAAATTAACAAGAAGCAGTAGTGGTTTGGTGTCGTACTCCTTTCCAGAGCAGGTACATGGTTGAGGAGACCACGCTGCCAGGTTAAACCTGGGTGCTTGGCCCTGTCGCAGTTTCCCAAGCGCCAAGGAAATGAAGGATACCTGCTAACTCCAGAATACCTCTAGAAATGTTGCTGTGTTCAAAATCAAGGACTCAGAATAAATGCCCTACCCAGTCAGGCAGCACGCTGGCTAATTCAGTGGCAATAAGATTTGCTACTTTGAGAGAGCAAGACATTTTCTGAGGTCTGTTAACCTCACAGCCTGTTCACCTCCATGCCATCCCAGCAACCACAGCAGTCCCGTTCGCCTCACGGAGGAGGATTCTATTTCATTTGGCAATTCTGTTCAGACTGTAATAATCCTGACTATAATAACCTGAATGCATAAACTTACAGACAGCATAATCACCAAAATTAACTATGTTTATCCACTTGCATTTGGTTTTGTTTGCCAGCTGGGAGCAGATCATATTAAGTTTGTATGTTATCCTGTATCCTTTTTCCCTAAGGTTCCTGGCTTTGCCAGATCAGCATGATTTTGCCAGATTTAGTAGCACTGCAAGTTTTACTGTTAATTAGACACTCTCCGTTAGCTGCTGTACTGTCCAGACTTGAACACCATGATGTGTTTGATCATTCTAGCAGTTTTACCTAGCATGAAGATGACAACCTTTGGGTCACCCCTCCTTCACTGCAGGAATAGCGCCAAAGCTGGAATAGCACCTTAAAGCTGTAGATCAGTCAATCAATCAATAATCCTTGGAGTGGTGGGTGGGACATTCATTAAAACAAATTCTATTCCAGGGAAGGATCAACAATCTAGCACGCGTTTAGGATGCAGACGCCCGGTTCATCTTTAGCAGCCAACAGCCGCACGCAGAGGTGCCCGGGGCACTCGGTGCCCTCAGTGATCCTGCTCTGTTAGTACCAGAAGCATCTCAGTGGAGCAAGAAAGTGACATATTATTGCAACATTAGTTTGCTAAGTTAATGTAAATATTTATGGATATGTTCTCTCCTTTGTGGTCCATCAGAGGACTGCATCTTTTAGAAGTTTTTTTGTTTGCGTGTTTAACTTTGGTATAGGAATGAGGTGGGGGGGTGCGTTTTCATTATGATTTAGGGATGGGTGGCACTTCCATCCTAAGGATCTTTGCAAGTACTAATGCATAGCATATCTTTCAAGAAGATATTTTGCAAAAGAGAAGTGATGTAAAAGGGATAAAATCTATTTGCATAAGTATTTGCTAATGGTGCGTGTGTGTGTGGGGGGGGGGGCTGGCTTGAGTATCTAGAAATTCAAAGGTGTTAAGTATCTGTGATTTCCAAAAAGATGAGAGCCAGTAGGTCAACTGAAAACAGGAACCACAAAATCTGTAGTCTGTAGTATTAAGTCAAAATATATTGGGGAAATGCAGGGTTTCCTTAGCTCTCCTGAAGGAAAATTAAAAAAAAAAAAAAGAAAAAAGAAAAAAGTTCTGTCCCCTGAGAGGAGACAGTGAATGAACCTGATCTCATACACCTGGAGCATCAGTATGAGATTGCTGTGACTCTCCTGTGAACTGTTGGAGTACCTAGTATGAGGTGTTGCTGACGCAGTGGTTTATAATTTCTTAGTTCTGGCAACATCTGATAAACTTAGGCAAGGAAAACAAACAACAAAGAACAGGAGAGCAAATTGGCAATATGGATGATCACCCCTAAGTCTTGTCCACCCTACCATTCTTTATGCCACTGCAGGTGTGCAGGGCAGGTCTTCCACTATGGACATGACAAGAAAGTACATTTTTCAACTAATATATTCAACCGTCCCACTAAATACAAGCCCCTTTCAGAGAGAAGGCAATTTTTGTGACATATTAGTAACACCAGGAAGAGGTGGAGGCTCTCTGCCCTCTTGTCTGAAGGGACAGTTTCCCAGAGGAATGATGAGTTACACATCTAACTTCAAATCGCAGCGGTACATGTTACAAGAATAGAAGAGGAGCACAGACGGAACCAAGTCAGTGCAGAAAACATAGGTGGGAAAAAAAGAGAAAGAAAAAGAAATGCCTACAGATACGCTCATATTTATGTTCAGAGCTTATATTCACCTGTACATTTAACCCGCTCTTTTTGTTTACACTCACTGTACCCAAAATAAAATGTGACCTTAAATAAAACTTATAAGTTTTTAATGAAGTGACCCTAGAAAGCACTAGAGAAGAAAAGGAACAACAAGAGAAAAGAAATAAAGAAAAAAAAAGAAAAAATGTTGCCCAAACCAGAACTCAAAACATTAATTTCCGTCTGGAATAAAAAAAAATGGATATATCATATAAAAACTTCTATGGATGCAAGCAGTGCTTGAGAATTAGAAAAGATGCTGACAAACGGGAGAGCTTACACGACATTAGTTTCAGGCAGTGATGAGGTGTTAGATAAACATTCTTTAAATAAAAGCTATGAAAAAATATATTTTTTGAGCAATATTCTCCTCCTAATGGCCTGCACTATGTAATCTGCCAGCTAAAGCAAAAGCCTGTTATATTCCTATGGCCTTAAGAAGTAGTTTTCCTTTAGGAAGAAAACACAACCACAAAAAGTAATTTTGCTCCTGTATTCTTTGAAGGCATCTCTTTTCAAAAAAAAAAAAAAATTACTGTTCCCTAGGAGCTGAAGACGTAGCCCAGCCGTGAGGGTCTCGCGTACACGCAGCCCCACTGCCCTCCTTGCCGCCCCTGCAGGGCCACCCCGGGACTCCCAAGCAGCAGATTGTCTTTAGTGACCTTTAGAGGGCAGATGTTAATATGTTAGCAAAATCACACCTGAAGCGTTAGACCAGATAAAGCCTTCATAGAAGTTTTCTGCATGTAACATTTTTCTTTCTTGATTTAGCTGTCACAGTCTCCTGCTTTCAATAGGCCTTGCACTGTATTCACCAAGTGCTTACTCAAGAAAAGTAGGAAACTTGGGGAATTTTGGTCTAATACAGACTGAGAAACTGTTCACTCAATGAGTGTGCTGTTTGAGAACAGCTTTTATTTAGCTTTCTCATTAGGACACTCTTAAAACAGCACAATAAAACCATATACTTAATAGCACAGGCAAAGGTTTAGGTGACACAATAGCAGTAACAGGCAGAGATAGAAGCTTTCTGACCCATGCTCTGAGCTGGCAATTTTCCAGAAGAATGACAAGTTACGCACCTGACTTTAAACTTCAGCAGGCACACTCATCATATTGTATCTAACTTTAAAAACTTTTTTTTTTGTTTGTTTAATCTGTATTAGAAAGCTCTCTTCCCATCTCCAAACAAAATACAACAGAAATTGAATCTTCACAGCAGATTCTGCTAGCAGATGACCAGCTCCTACAGTTCTTCTGGTAGGCCCTCGCATCTCCAAACACCCAGACCTCACTGCTCAGGCTTTACAGACTGCTTAAAGAACCATACCATAAAATCCAGAGGCCCATGCACTCCCAAAATCTCCTAATGTCACCACTGTCTAATGCTGGAGCCCCTCTTGTCAACATTAAGGCTTCTCTTTTAGCAGGACCACAGTCTCTTCTCTGCCTTAGCACAGACTCCATGCCACATTCCACCCATTTCTGCAAAAACTCTGTTGTTTCCTCTAAGACTAGTCTTACCTCCTCCTCCTCTGCTTAGGGAGGTTCTCTCCAGCCTACACCTAAACCGCTACACCTGTACCTCCTACACAGCTGGACTTGGTGCCAGCTGTGTGTAACAGGCTGACCAGGTACAGCTAGAGGAGGCAGCGGGGGTTGCTACCAGGCCTTTACTCCTCAGCACAGATTTCTGTGGCCAAGGTTATCCT